GAAAGAGATCATATCTCGACTCCGTGTTTTTGTCTATTTTCAATCGGTTTTCTAACTCTCGTTTTAATCTCTTACCTTAACATATCGTTTATAATATTGCTATTTTCTATTCGTTATTTCAATTGGATTTTCGCGGTCCTTCATTAATTTCTCTCTCTCTCTCTCTCTCTCTCTCTACGAGTTTTACATTCCCTCAGTTACATAATTGATATATATTCACATGAAGAGGATTGTTCGCATGTCAATATTCCATTGGAGTGGCTTGTCAATTTTTCTTAGGTCATTGGAGCTATATTTTTCTGTATCACGCGTCAAGTTCATTTTGTTTGTGTTTTGCTGCATAAATTCTTTAAGACGGCGTGAAGGAGCACTACTTGCATATGAATGTCTTTGCAAGTAGTAGAAGCTACACATGAAGCTATATTATATACTCATGGGTTAATGTCCCATGCTTTTCTGTTTCAGTCTCGCCCACTCAAAGCTATCATTATCTTCTATGATCTGGAGTCAGAGCTGTTATATCATTAGTCTTAATGTCTTATATGAGAAGGAGGTCCTCTCGCTTGGTGGTGTGCATCTTCTCTCTCTCTCTGGTCTGACAAATATGTGTGTTTTTGTTCAGCGAATCACTTAATCGAGATCTTTATGTCTCTTTGGCACTACCAACAAAACAAAACAGTTACAACAATGTCTTCATCCTGATCGTTGGGGGGACTGGTCTCCTACTTTTGTTAATTTATTTTGCTAATTTATTTTAGTTTGGATGAGATAAATTAGAGCATCATAAGTTTCGCAATGTTAAAAAATATGTAAGGTCTTTTTATTCAAGGCTGAAATCATGTAAAGAATGGGTAGAGTTTGCAAAGTTCAAAAGAGGACGTATAGTATTGGATTGTGTTACTCGGTGGAATTACATACATAATGTTGAAAAAATACACTTAAATATCAAGCTTCAATTGATAGGATGACTGGTATGGATAAACTATGCTATACATGGTCCAAGAAAACCTGATTCGAATGGTACTAGTTAGTTGGGACAAAACTCGACATAAGGTAAAGTTTATAAAAGAGAACAACGACGAAGGAAAAAAATTACCTTCATTTACGTTTGGGTATACAGGTTGGTTTTGCGTTTAGATCGTGTTTTTTGTTTGATTTTATTTTGGAATTGGATGGTTTGCTCTCGGGTTTTATATCACAGACCGTCAAAACTGACATTTTTCGAACTTGTTTTGAGGGCGGTGATAAAAGTCTTTATCTTTGATTTTCTGGAGATATAGACAAGAGTATTGGGGGATATTTGATGTTATATAATAGTTCTCATAGGAAAATAAAACGTTTATCCATCTTTTTTTAGATAAATTAAGGAAGGTTAAACGAGAAATATGCTAAAGAAGAAGGAAAGGAAGAATAAGAATAAGAGCTGAAAATTTAGAAATGTTAACATTTTCAGAGCAAAAAAGATAAAGAAGAGGTCTCATCCGATTGATTGGTAGTACGTTGATATTGTAATTTACAACTAACTTTTTTCATAATCTAACTAACTTGTTGATATGTTCAAAAATATATGCTCATTATAATAATTACTAGATTCTATCTTGTACGTCCGTACGGAAACTATTTTTAATTTATCAAATTTTGTAATATAATTTATGTTTTGTTTTTGTTTAGATATAATTTTCTAATAAGTGATAAAAGTTTTTTTCTGTTTATATATAATTTGTTTCTACTCTCTCTCTCTCTCACTCTCTCTCTCTCTCTCTCTCAGTTTTACATTCCCTCAGTTACACAATTGATATATATTCACATGAAGAGGATTGTTCGCATGTCAATATTCCATTGAAGTGGCTTGTCAATTTTTCTTATGTCATTGGTGCTATATTTTTCTGTATCACGTGTCAAGTTCATTTTGTTTGTGTTTTGGCTGCATAAATTCTTTAAGACGGCGTGAAGGAGCACTACTTGCATATGAATGTCTTTGCAAGTAGTAGAAGCTACACATGAAGCTATATTATATACTCATGGGTTAATGTCCCATGCTTTTCTGTTTCAGTCTCGCCCACTCAAAGCTATCATTATCTTCTATGATCTGGAGTCAGAGCTGTTCTATCATTAGTCTTAATGTCTTATATGAGAAGGAGGTCCTTCTCGCTTGGTGGTGTGCATCTTCTCTCTCTCTGGTCTGACAAATATGTGTGTTTTTTTCAGCGAATCACTTAATCGAGATCTTTATGTCTCTTTGGCACTACCAACAAAACAAAACAGTTACAACAATGTCTTCATCCTGATCGTTGGGGGGGGGCTGGTCTCCTACTTTTGTTAATTTATTTTGCTAATTTATTTTAGTTTGGATGAGATAAATTAGAGCATCATAAGTTTCGCAATGTTAAAAAATATGTAAGGTCTTTTTATTCAAGGCTGAAATCATGTAAAGAATGGGTAGAGTTTGCAAAGTTCAAAAGAGGACGTATAGTATTGGATTGTGTTACTCGGTGGAATTACATACATAATGTTGAAAAAATACACTTAAATATCAAGCTTCAATTGATAGGATGACTGGTATGGATAAACTATGCTATACATGGTCCAAAAAAACCTGATTCGAATGGTACTAGTTAGTTGGGACAAAGCTCGACATAAGGTAAAGTTTATAAAAGAGAACAACAACGAAGGAAAAAAATTACCTTCATTTACGTTTGGGTATACAGGTTGATTTTGCGTTTAGATCGTGTTTTTGGTTTGGTTTTATTTTGGAATTGGATGGTTTGCTCTCGGGTTTTATATCACAGACCGTCAAAACTGACATTTTTCGAACTTGTTTTGAGGGTGGTGATAAAAGTCTTTATCTTTGATTTTCTGGGGATACAGACAAAGAGTATTGGGGGGTTTTGATGTTATATGGTAGTTCTCATACGAAAATAAAACATTTATCCATCTTTTTTAGATAAATTAAGGAAGGTTAAACGAGAAATATGCTAAAGAAGAAGGAAAGGAAGAATAAGAATAAGAGGTGAAAATTTAGAAATGTTAACATTTTCAGAGCAAAAAAGATAAAGAAGAGGTCTCATCCGATTGGTAGTACGTTGATATTGTAATTTATAACAAACTTTTTCATAATCTAACTAACTTGTTGATATGTTCAAAAATATATGTCTCATTATAAGAATTACTAGATTCTATTTTATCTTTTACGCCCGTACGGAAACTATTTTTAATTTATCAAATTTTGTAATATAATTTATGTTTTGTTTTTGTTTAGATATAATTTTCTAATAAGTGATAAAAGTTTTTTTTCTGTTTATATATAATTTGTTTCTATTAATTTATTTTTTCTGATATTATATATAATCGCGATTAAAAAAACATTATTCTAACTTGTCTGTTCATATTAATCTAAAAAGTACCACAATATAAAAATATTATTATAATATATCCATTTATATTAATCCGAAAAAGATCGCGGTTATTAAAAAAATAATTCTAACATGTCCGTTCATAATATTTGTATATTTTAAATATTTAAATATTTTAAAATTTATTCAATAAAAATATACAATGATATATCATTTTCATCTTTGTCACTGAAAATATTATTTAAATTTGACTATTTATATTAAATCAAATTTAATATCTGATTTATTATTTTTGTAGAATTATGATTTTTGATAAATCATATAGCATATATTTAAGAAAATCAATAATAAATCTAAATTTAAACTAAAATTTTTGGATTTATGTACAATCTTAATTTAAACTAATATATTATTTTATTAATATTAAAATAAATTGACTTGTTTGACAACAGAAATAACAGTTATCCAAAAACAAAATTATCTTAAACAAAAAAAATTCTGTTTGAACACAAAAAGTAATTCCCTTTTGATAGTATATATATTTCTCTTTGCCAAAACTTGCAAGAGTAGGGGGCATATCTTTATGAGAGAAAAATTGTACTGAACACATAGCTATTCTAATAAGACTGAACAACATCGAAATCTATAAGAAATACCAAAATAGGTGAAGATTGCTTTTTTTCTCCAAGACATGAAAAAGGGAGGAAAAAGGCACGCATTTGCCGAATGTTCGGTCAAATACAGTGTAAGGACATCTCCAACCTACCTCTATTTTAGAGGTAAAAATAGAGATTATGTTCCAATCCACCTCTATTTCACCTCTAAAATAGAGATTGCTATTTTTTCCTCAAATATAGAGGGACTCTATTTTTTCCCTCTATAATAGAGGTGGATTTTTTATTTGTAAAATAATCTTTTAACTTTTAAATCTTTTTATTTATGCAAAAAGTATAATTATTTGTGAATATAAATATGATAATTTTGGTTATAATTTAAAAAAAACATATAATATTATTAAATATAAAAATTTTCATTGAAATTAAACTACAAAAAGTAATTGCAAATTAAAAATACATAAAATAAACGAAAAATAACAGCAATTTTTTTTTAATTTATGAATTTTAACTTCTAATATTATTATAATATGTTGAAACTTTCATAAAAAAGTAACATAAATGGGATTAATTTAAAAAATTTAGTAGTCAAAGGTTACTATTACTATAATTTATGAAAACTTTTATAAAAAGTAAAATAAAAGATTAATTCACAAATTTTATTTATCAAAGTTAGTATTATAATTTATATAATTTTTTGTAAAAAAATAAGTGGAGTCAATTCATAAATTTTATTAATAAAAGGTGTTAATAACAAAAAGATTATATTAAGAATATTCTTTTTTAGAGAGAAAAATAGAGGTAACCATTGGAAATGGTCTAGAGAAAATAAATACCACGGAACGATCAAGTCAAGGTGGATTAAAGAGTACACAAGAGCACATCAAAAGTCCAAGTGAAGTCGTGGATGCATTATCGAATAGAGCATAGAGGAGAACTATGTTCTTGGAACTCTTTCACATTTATGTTTGTTCATATATTACCAAAAAAGGGGGACATAATATAACAATTTGTTATTTTGATCCAGTTTGCAGATGGAAGATTATTCATTATATTGATAAGAAGTAATGGATTTACAGCCTTGGCATTCATCTAACCAACGAAGAACGAATTATTAAAAATAGAGAGACAAAATTAACAAAAGTGAGCTAAAAGAAGAAATTCATGTGAAATGAATCAAAAAACAAAGGGTGGGAGATCAATAAACCCTTTCTCACACCTCACTAGCTTAAGGGTCATATCATATAACACTCACTTCTTGGTGAATTAAGTTAAGAGCAATGGCTTAACAGTTTACTTGAACTCTAGGGCTTGGGATTCCCATGTATGCTAAGCGTGGAGAGACCCTTACTCTAGGACTAGGCCTTGGAGAAGGAATTGGACCGTATGGTGGGAAACGTGCATAAGTAGGCGAAATCCGAGGAGACAAACTGACTTGTTCGAATGCTTGTGACTGCAGTTCCATTGGATAATCTCTGACACACCCGATTCGTGGACCAACTCCACTTGTCCATTTGCAAGATAGCCTCTTGGACAGGTCGAACACCGGTCTTTTTCTCTCTTTCTCTTCTGTAACGCTGGTTTCTGCAGGTTTATTATCTGTTTCTTCTTCTTTTGATTCCTCTTCGTATTTGAATGACGAATATTCCTCATTCACAGAGCACCTCTGCATTCAGATTTAGATTAGTGAATAGAGATCATTCTTCAGATTTATAATCAAGTTAACAAAAAATTGGTTTCCTTACCTTAACATTGGTGAGATCAACTTTGTTCTCTTCCAGAAAACTTATGAATTCCTTGAAGTTGTCTTCTGTTGGGAGGTAGTGTCCACTGTATGGCCATATAGCCTGAGAAAAAAATGTATTTCAGATTTTTACTAGCTCCTACATATAAAGGGTGTATAAGAGATTTAAACTGGGAAGCAAAACTACATCGTAAAACATGGAAATTACCTCGAGGATACCATCGCGGGCGACCAATCTTCCTGCAGCGGTTGTGGCGCCTCCAGATAAGAAACTCGAGTGTTGGAAAACACCTTTCTTCTTCTGCCCTACGTATAAGGTTCTAGTGGTGCTAAGTACGAAAATCGACTTGGATTCCTCTGTTGAATTAATCAGATTCATGCTCTGTTTATACATTAGCCTCCCATCTTCTACTATCACTTCGTAGGCTTCTCTCTCCATCTACAAGTTGAAGAACACAAATGTTTATGAGTAAGAAAATGGTCAGTATAACGGACAAGGTTTTTTGGCAGGTGAAACTGAAAAATACTCACTGGTCCAAGATATTTAATGCACTGTTTTTGCAGAACACTTCTTGGGTGGTGTTCAAGATTAACATCTTTTCCATCGCCAATGTCCAACCTTCAGTTTCAATTAGGTGGAAACAGAGTTTAGAGCAGATTCACACAACAGAAAGAGATAAAAATGGATATGGGTTTGACCAGTAGAAGAATGGTTGTGCGCTCATGCTTGCTGACCAGACATCGTAATAAAAGTGCAAGTTGTGGCCATAACGATGGCGTGGGTCAATCTGTAATTGCAGAAGAGACACAACTGAGACTATAGTCACAAAACAGGACGATTTGTTCAAGTCCATAGCTATTTATTGGAACTTACGGCTTCAAGCCAATGCTGAAGAGCTAACTTCTGAGCTTTTTCATCTTTTGACAAGCCTTTTCCAACCTAAATGATAAAACAATGTAAGATATCACATCAGTTTCCGCTGTAAAGAGAGATATGATCTCAACATAAAAAACAACTTGTGGAAATGGTGTCAGACCTTCGCAGCTCGTGTTCTAGCTCGTGCCCATTTGGAAACAGCGGTTTCATGTTTCTCTTCTTCAAAGAAGGAAACCGAGCTCAATTTCAGAGCTGCAGCATCCAGAGTCTTCCACCTATTAAAACATTTGAAGACACAGAAGGGATAAGTGTCGACAACTTGAACCACATTACTAACAAAGGAGAGAGAGAGATGGAGGATCATCAAGTGACTTACCAGAGCTCCTCTACCACAACCGCGCAATCCGCTAGATTCCTTCTTGTCCGGTAACTCTTGTACACCTTCTGAAGCGTAGTTGCAGCTGCGTCAAGCTCGGTGATTGGTCTTGGGGAGAAGAACACAAAAGGCTTAGGGGGAGTAATCGTGGGTTTTGTTATTTGGATTCTCTCGCAGGTTCTTCGGTTCAAAGTGTTTCGAGTAGGCTTCTCCGTGTCGAGAATCGGATCATCTGCTTTATTCATCGGTTCAACCTTGCCTCCTACAGGGACTTCCCAGCTGTTGAAGCTCAACGACCTCTCCATACCAGTCTGAAGAGAGTTTTCCGGCTTGTCTCTCTTGAAAATGCTGGTTCTTGATGTCAAGCCTCCGTCTTTCCTTTCAAGCTAAAGGATCTGATTTGAAGAAAGCTCTCGACAGGGTTCTTGAAACTGAAGAACTGTTTCGCCAAGACTTCTTTCCAAGCAGACAAGAGCAGTGAGAGAGAAAGACCCATCTCCTGAATAAAACAACAATATATAAAAGACAGGATTATTCAACTTGTTGCTCCAAATTTTACAAAGCCCCTGCACACACACGCATTAACTAAGATCAATATCAACGTTGACAAACGTATCTCTCTCTAAAGTAATCAACCAACAACTGTCATTAATATATATTACTGAGGTCATTTGCTATCATCACCAACCCAATTATTGGTGCCTTCTTAGATAAATCATCTCATTTAGACATTTCAACAAACACATTGACAGCATCTGAAAACTATTTAGAATATCCAAACTCAAGGGACAACTAAAGGTGTAAACTTTATGAGTTTCTCGCTCTTCTTGGGTCAGAATCATAGGAAAGAATCCCGCATACCTCAAGAACTGCAGAATCAACACTTAAAACAAGAAAAATCGATATGAAAGACTAAAAAAGTAAAGTCTTTTAAGTATTTTCTCTCTCTCTCTCTCTCTCTCTTCTTCTCTAGAGAAAACCAAATGAATATGACCATCACGTTGAAGAGTAAGAGCTATAAATATACAAAGCTGCATATGCATAGTGTGTGTGTAGTTGACGAGTATTAAATGGGGTGAAAAAATATAGTCGTCGATTTAAATCGTTGAATAAGAGAACAAAAGCTTATAGTGAAGATTCAAAGATGGTGTGTTCTGGAAAAAAAATATATTAGTTTTTAAATGATTCAGAAAAGTAACAAAGTTTGATAGAAAACAAATTGATTTTTGTCTGTTGTCAAAAAAAAAAAAAAAACAAATTGATTTTTGTCTTTGAGCACATCATTTTGTTAACTTTTTTACTAACGAAAAATACCAAAAAATTTTTTTTCTGAGGAATATTATAAAAAAATGATAGAAAACAGATTACAGACCACACAGGGAACCACCCTACCACAGAAGACATAGGGTGATTCAATGGAGTGCGAGGCTAAAAAGCCACATGTGGAGAAAAAGTTGGCTAAAAAGCCATCTCCCTATAAACAATTTTATTTTCGAATTAAATTTATTAACAGAAACCTGGTTAATTATACCCTTATCCTTATATATCTCAAAAATCACGAAAATACCTAGGTTAAACCCACCCGTTTTATATCCGACCCGAATACCCGGATAAAATAAAAAAAAAATTATTTAATTTGAAATCAAAAATCAGGGAATTGAAATTGGTAAACCGAGAATTGGGTAAAAAAAACCGAACCGAATAAATTTAATTTTGAAAACCACTCAACATAACCTTAAAAACGAAAATCAAATTTTGTCCTCCCTCCCCCTTTCTCTCTTCATCTTCCCCGATTCTTCCCCACTTCCTTCTCTCTTCCGAAAATTCTGTAACTTCCCCCTTCAAACGACACTTGCTCGATTTTGTAACTGCTCCTTCTTCAACAACCCTTTCTTCAATTCCCGTACTATATATTACATAATTTGAGCCTTCTAACTCCATCAAGACAAACCCTAAATCCAGCGTAACTCGATGGCTAAAATTCGACTTAAGGGTGTGGTCTATGATTCGAACGAATCTGTACCCAAGCGCAGCGAAGAAGCAGATATGGAAGATAAAGAACCCGGAATAACACCAAACCCTCCGGCGAATGATGAAGAAACAACCCATGAAGAAACTCGGGGAGAAGAAGAATCATTGACGGAATCAGAACCAGCCGGTACGGAAACCACCAAAGAAGCCCCAGAAACCGCACCAACACCCATGGAAGAAAGTGCGACGGATCAACCAGAGGAGCGGTTGGAATCTCGCGAGGAACCTGAAAAAGTGGGTTTAGCGGATACAGTAGCTGAGGAAGAGGGTGTGGTAGAATCCCAGAAAGAAGGCGAGAGAGATGTATCTGAGGATGAGGCTTCAGGAAGAGAAGGCGAGGAAGAGAAATCAGAGAAAGAAGCCGAGGAAGAGGAATCAGAGAAAGAAGCCGAGGAAGAGGAATCCGAGAAAGAAACAGGGGAAGAGGAAGTCGAGGATGAGTAATCCAAGAAAGATAGTGGAGAAGAGGAGTCCGAGAAAGAAGCAGACGAAGACGGAGGGGGGACACCCGAGAAAGACGACGAGGGAGAAGGAGAGGAAGGACATGAAGAGGAAGGAAATGAAGAGGAAGAAAATTCAGCGGAAGAAGAGGATGGCGAAGAGGCAGACGAAGATTTAGAGGTAAGTATACTCTAAACGAAATTATGTTTGGTCATTGGACAACTAGGACAACTAGGATAACTATTTGAATGAAATTATGTTGGGTATTTGGACAACTAGGACAACTAGGATAACTATGTGTGATTAGAAATTACGTTTGGCATTTGGACAACTGGGACAACTAGAATAACTGTGACTGATGAAATAACGTTTGTCATTTGGACAACTAGGACAACTAGGACAACTAACTATTTGCACGAAATTACGTTTGGCATTCGGACAACTGGGACAACTAGGACAACTATTTGCACAAAATTACGTTTGGCATTTGGACAACTGGGATAACTGGGACAACTAAATTTCATGATTGTGTTTCTTGTTTTTATTTCAGGATGCCGATGATGGCAGGCAACCGATGGTGCCTGAGAAGCTTTACTTCGGTCCAACCGAGTACAGCCAGGGTTGTAGGATATTGACAAGGTGCTCAGTTAGAGCTGTTGTGGACAAGATTGAAAAACTTGATGAGGAGAAAGCATGGTTCAGAGCGCATCCTCAATTTAAGCACATTTTTCACATGTTCAAGGAGCCCAACCACATGAATCAAGGGTTGTAGATGCTTCTCCTTCACACTGCTCATACTGATAGGCTTAGTGAGTGCTGGTTTGTTGTTAACGGAGTTTCGATAAGGTATTCTCTGGGAGAGCATGCGCTTTTGAGTGGACTTGACTGTCGTGATTATCCGACTGACTACAACAATTTGGGGAACACAAAGTTTGTTAAGAAGCACTTTGGTAGGGATGATAAAATCAAGATTGGGGAGGTGGAAGAAAAATTAGATGAAATGAAGGATCCTTCTGTGGACAGGAAGAAAATGGCCCTCCTCTGGTTTTTATGCAAGGTAGTGAAGGCGAAATACAAGACTGATGGTAATATTGATCCGTTCTTGCTCAAAGTTGTCAGTGATTTGAATGTGTGTAAATCATTCCATTGGGGGCGTTACACATTCGATGACATGATGAAGGAGATTCGGCGTGTGATGGCAAAGTTTGATGGCACCATGAAAGGCAAAAAAGCAAAATGTCCCTTGTCTGGTTTCATTATTCCTCTACAGGTAATTCTCATTCAATAGTTTATAGAATCTAAATTATTTACATTTATTAGTGGTTTAATTTTTTGACTTTGTGTCTAGATACTTGCTTTTGAGTGTATTCCTAGCCTTGGGCGAAAATTTCGAGAAGCCGTACCTGCAGAGAAAGACTGTCCGAGGATGTGCAAGCACAAGTTCGCCGATGTATGCATGAAAGACATTCCATTGGATGATATAAACTCAGCAATTGGAACAAGTGTAAAGGTTAGTATTTGATTGGTTTGGTTATTGGACAATAGTGTACAACTATGTTTGACTTGTTGGTAGTGGTATTAGGACAAGTGGTACAACATAGTAATATTAAAATTATTGGTCGTGGGACAATAAGGACAACTGGTACAACTATGTAATATAATTGGTCGTGGGACAATTAGGACAACTGGTACAACTATGTTTCTTTAATTGGTCATGGGACAATTAGGACAACTGGTGCAACTATGTTTCTTTTATTGGTCGTGGGACAATTAGGACAACTGGTACAACTATGCAATATTACAGATTATTGGTCGTGGGACAATTAGGACAACTGGTGCAACTATGTTTCTTTTATTTTGGTTTGTCACTAATTTGTTTCTTTTGTTTTGTTGCCAGGACATACATAGCATCTTGAAGCCTGCAGACTCGGGTGAAGAAAAACTATTGTCTCGGATATTAGATCCTGGATATGATGATGGGATAGGACTCATTGATGTAGGTGTTGAGGATTGGATGCATCATCTCACGGTGAAGAAGAAGAAGATCTTCTGGAGATCTTTGTATGAGTTAGAGATTCAACATCGGGGTGTAGGGAGCAGAGTCGAGATTCCTCAAGCACCAGCACCTGAGTCGACATCATTGTTGGAGCTGAGGGCTACCATTGGTCTGTTGGAAAAAAGAGTGGCGACGCTTGAGCAGTTAGTCCTTCACCAATCCCCTGCACCACCCGCCTCTTCACCAGTTGGCACCGGTCAACCACCAGCCGTGTCCTCACCAGTTGGCACCGGTCAACCACCAGCCGTGTCCTCACCAGTTGGCACCGGTCAACCACCAGCCGCGTCCTCACCAGTTGCCACCGGTCAACCACCAGCCGCATCCTCACCAGTTGCCACCGGACGACGAGGTGCATCACGTCCTACCCTAAACTCGTCGTATGCTTTGTTGGATCGTGTGGAGGTGTTGCAGCGTGATGTCTGGCATCAAGGGATAGTGAGGGCAATTGTGGCGAACAACCGTTACAAGGTAAAACTGGTTGACACATCGGAGGAAGCTGATTTCATGTATTGGGATGTTCGGCCATCAACTGCACCACCACCTGCATCGGCCAATGTAAGCGCAGCACCAGCAGAAGCATCCTCCTCAAAGGCCGTTAGAGGTCGAGGTGGAACTAAGAGGGCCAGGAAGATTTCACAGTACAAGAAGTCGCCTTATACTTCTGCGAGAAAAGCCAAGAAAGCCAAGAAGTAGGATGTTTTATGTTTAAGATTATGTGTTTCCTTGTTTTATTTAGGACAACTGGTATAATTTCCTTGTTTTATTTAGGACAACTCGTACAACTATATGCGATATATTAGGACAACTGGTTCAATTTGCTTGTTTTATTAAGGACAACTCGTACAACTATATGCGAAATATTAGGACAACTGGTACAACTGCGTAGTTTTATTTAGGAGAAATAGTTCAAAATAAATCAAAGCATAGTAGCAATAACAAGGGGAAAAAAGGTCAAACTGAAAAGGTCATCTTCTTCATCCTTAACGCTTTTTTATAGCTGCTTCAAGGGATGCCACCTTTGACTCCAACTGGTTTAACTTCGAGAAAACAGTGTCAAACGAAGCCCGCATGGCTTCTTGAGTATCATTCAACATTTCAATCTCTTCGATTATAGCGAGATCCCACCATTTCTTGAAGCCACAACTGGGAACCTGAAATCCCCAAACTCAGAAATAAACCCTGAGACTCAAATTATAAATCAAAATTGAAAACCCAATTGACTTACTTCAGGGAAATTTTTGGGGCCACAGCAGCCGTAGAAGCAACCATAATATTTTTGGCCCCTGTCAAGCGCGGAGTTGTCAGTTAAACACCCAATTGGAGCTATGCCGCAATAACAAACCTTTGGAATTCCCTTTTGTACAGGGCATGGAAGAATGGTCCTGACTCCATTGACTTCGGGTCCCCATCTAGTGGTCATCCCGTAATCCTTCTTAGGCAAGACAGAAGAAGAGCCATCATTCTTCTTTTCAGCCAATTTCGCAAGGGCTATCTGATATTTATCCATTATGCGGCAGAAACCCTAGAAAACCTATTTGGGGAAAAATTGGGAAAGAGAATAAGAGGAGAAGAAACCCTTTGACCCTTTTCTATGAAAGAGAAAACGCTAAACGACAACCAAAAAGAGACAAGTATAGCGGAAAAACTTATAATTTTATCCTCAGCCGCCATTCTAAACACGTGCATTTTATACATGCCCGTGTCCCAAAATTTATGTTGACATCATAGTTGTACCTAGTTGTCCGGTTGTCCCAAAATTGTCAAAGTTGTCCTTTGGACGATTTTTAAGTTTTTTCAGTTGTCCTTTAACAAGAACATTCTTTTTTTAGTTGTCCCCTTAACCCTTGAACATTTTATACATGCCCCAAGGATGTCGCGCCCTTACTTTTGTATTTCCCATATTTTTACGTGTAGCCTCTTATAAGATGGAAACCATTGTCAAAAAATACCTTATACCATAAGGGTTATTTCATTAGAAACACAAATGGTATATCTTATTTTCAGAAAATAATGGGTTTTTTTAAAGTGTTTAGTGGTAGTCGTTGAGTACCCAGTAGTTAATGGTTTGTCATTTGGATTTGTTTAGTGTTTACGAATTTAAAGAAATTAGTTTGTCCAATTTTTCATAGTTGTCCTAGTTGTTCTAGTTGTCCAACATTGTAATAGTTGTCCTAGTTGTTCTAGTTGTCCAAATTGTCATAGTTGTCCTAGTTGTTCTAGTTGTCCAACATTGTCATAGTTGTCCAAATTGTCATAGTCGTCCTAGTTGTTCTAGTTGTCCGACTTGTCATAGTTGTCCTTGTTTCTCACAGTTGTCCCAATTGTACCAATTGTCCACTTTATTCTATTTTGCCTAAACCCTGTCATAGTTGCACATAATTGTCCTAGTTGCCCTAGTTGTCCTACTTGTTTGTAGTTTGCCTGGGTTTGGACGTAGTTGCACCTAATTGCACCTAGTTGCCCTGTTGACATTCTCGAAATCCAAGTCCAAGAAATTCAAAATACAAATTACTCCAAAATACATAGTATTGCAAGAAATCCAAGATAATTAAAATATTCCTTAGGCCTAGCTCTCACCGCCTGACCGCTCTGACCGCCCTGACCGCTTTGACCGCCCTGACCGCTCTGACCGCTCTGACCGCTCTGACCGCCCCTTGGGTTTAGTGGTTGAAACCAACGGCCAATGTTTGTGTTTGGGTTGGCCTTCTGACTCCTGCGAGCTTCTCCGGTGGAAGGAAACCGCTTCTCCCTCTTTCTTCCTGCTTTTTTGGTATAGTCTGGTGGGTAAACAACTAAATTAGCTACCTCCTCCGGAATAATCCAAGTAGAAAGATGCGGCACCATATAGATGGTTCTGTGGTAAGCCATCGCCCAAGTATCAATCAAGTAGTATCTTGAGCATAAATCGAAAATGTGTAAGTCTCTTCTTCTTGAGGACGTCCGCATCATTGCAATGGTTGCGGCTATTGCATGAACACATGGAATCTTATCAATATCAAATATGCGACAACCACAACTTTTTGTTTCCAAATTAACCAGATAGCTCTTCCCATCAACTCCAACAACACAGTATTCAAGCCCAGGTAGATTTAGCTCAGTCACATCTAATTTGGTCGCAATTGCACATTGTTTATGCAACTCGTTTTCCACATACGGCACCAGTTTCTTCGAATATGATGCACCAGCTATGTTATTCCTATGCCTGTTGAACCATTCAGACACTTTCTCAACATACGCATCAATCAATGGCAATAGTGCATACTTTCTCGCCTTCTTGAAGATGCTGTTCATTGATTCACAGGCATTGCTTGTGTCCAAGTTATACTTGTCCCCTTTAAAATTCCACCGTGTCCATTTATCAAGAGGAAGACCATTCTCTAAGTACTCCGCAGCTTTGGGAAACATTCTACCAAATTCGGTGTATGCAATTAGAAACTCACTTTCGGTGTACTTATGAGCGCACTCAATGAATTTTTTAGAACACAAATCCTTCCAACCATTGGCTGCTTTACCCCTCACATTACGAGACAAGTGCCACACACAAAATCCATGCTGAGACAGAGGGTATACCTCCTGCACTGCCTTCGCTATGCTTGTGTGTCTGTCACTCATAAAAACGATCTCAGGATTATCTGGTATAACAGTTTTCAGCATTTCTAAAAACCACCTCCAACTAGAGTCTTTTTCACTATCGATTACACCCATTGCAATAGGGTAATGGTGATGATTAGGATCCTGAGCCGTGGCAAATACTAGCATACCACCATAAACATTTTTAAGAAAAGTCGCATCCACCACTATGACTTTCCTCATTGAACTAAAGCCTTCAATGCTGGCACCCAAAGTAACAAAAAGATACTTGAACTTATTATTAGCATCCACTTTCACGCTCGTCACTGTTCCGGGGTTCACCAGCTTCAACACATACAGATAAGAATGCAATCTTTGAAAGCTTTCTTCCGGACTACCCCTCACTTGACGAATTGCCAGTTTTTTTCCTCTCAACACAGTAGAGTAGGACACATTCACATGATCTTCATTTTGAACAACCTTCACAATACTTCTAGGAGCTGGTGTGTCCACTACACCTGGATACGATGCACGCAAAACATCTGCTACAACTTGTGGAGTACCTTTTCTTTTGTTCTCAATTGTGCTGGTAAGGACCCGAGAGCAACTATGCATTTTCCTGTATACTCTAAGGCTGAAGTAAGTTGAATCCTTCATTCTTACAGCATGTATATACCATGAACAACCATGTTCAGCTTGACGGCATCTAAGAATGAGTCGGCCAGGATCAGACTTCACTGTTTTAACCTCAAAACATCCCTTATACGAAGCTCTGTCAACCAATACTCGCAACGCCTCTTTCGATCAAAATTCTTGATTTTTCTCAAAACCAGCACCATCTTCCCATTCAATAACAAACTGAGTCGGTTCTGAAGCCCCAGCAGGCTCAACGTGATCATGCTCATCCATACCATACTCTGCAGGCTCTTCTAAACCCTGATCATCCGGTTGTGAAACAGTATCATCAATCACTATCTGTGTCTCAGTCTCAGGTACAGCCACAATAGCAAGTTCGTCCTGTTCTTTCGCTGCTTCTACGATTTCAAGCATAATATCGCCTGTTTCTAGCTCTTGAATCTTATCTCTTTCCAAATCTTCCATTATCTCCACATGCAACAGAGATCTAAGTCCCTCTTTATCCACAGTTGTTAGATAGACATACACATCACCATCATCAACAATGCATGACTCATTGAGTGGCTTAGCTACCAACGGAATGTAGCTTAACTTGAGCTTCTTCTCACTATCGTTTACCCCAATCTTCTTGCATATACCATCTACCACCATCGAATATGTTACCTCATCCAAAGAGGTTTTAAATGATATAGCATAGATGGAGCTTCTTGATATCCATTTAAACTCCTCTCCTTCCTTATAATAACATCCTCCATACTCAAAATGTATGTTTGTGTGGCCGCTCATCCTCTTCTGTTCATAAAACCAAAAAAACTAAGTCATTAACGAATAACAATGTTTCCTTTTTTCCCATAGTTGTACCAATTGTCCCAGTTGTCCCACTTATCTCAATCAGTTATCCCAATTGTACCAGTTGTCCCAATACATTCCGGGTCCCAATTGTCCCAATTATCCCTATTGTCCCATTCCTGAAAAGTTAACCAATTCAACTCAGTTATCCCAATTGTACCAGTTGTCCCATTCCATTCAATAAACCGAGTTGTACCAGTTGTCCCATTCCATTTACTTACCCGAATTGTACCGGTTTTCCCATTACATTCAGTTATCCCAATTGTACCAGTTGTCCTTTTCCATTCAGTTAACCCAATTGTACCAGTTGTCCCTTTCCATTCAGTTAACCTAATTGTACCAGTTGTCTCATATCTCACTGATTCACTTTACAAACCTCCGATTCAGCTCGATTCAACGGCAACAAGTTAAATTTTAACACTCAGAAGACTAAATCGACATATATACGCCACTCTACTATCCAATGTGCAACCTAAAACGACCGGAATTGACAAATCGATTACTAAACCCTAATCCCCAAACTGTAGAAGAAGTTACCTTATTACCAAACGACGGCTCTGCACCGAGATTTGCCGAACACCACGGGTTCAGAGAAGGCCGGCGCACCGCGCCGAGCGATAAAAAACGAAAACGGATCGAAGATTTGATCGAACGATTTCTGGGAAGAATTTTCGATTTCGGATTTCGGTTCAATATGTTAACCCAGAATTTCGGGTTATGGGAAGAAACCAGATTCGGTTTTGGTTTTACAATTTTCCAATTTTCATTTCTCAACTTTTCGATTTTTTAAATAAAAGAAAACAAAGACAAAATCATCAATGCCATATTTACTTTTCATTAAGGGCATTTTCGGAAAATCACATCCTTTATGGCACTCAGATTAGTTTATGGCAGGGTAGATTAATTTTTTTTCATTTGTGGCTTCTCAGCCATTCTTTCGATTCAATGGCTTCACCGAACTTATTTTTCAGAAAAGGACAATTTATGAGTTTACTATTTACTTTTTTTTTTGTTTTTTTTTTAAGGAAAACTACGTATTTCTCCTTCGAAAATTTCATATAGTAATAGATCTACCTAAATTTTCGACCTTGTTTTAGATTTCCCTGATATAAAATTTAAAAACGTATCTCCATCGAATACAAAAATTTAAATTCTATTTATACACGAAACAAAAGTTAAAAACTAAAGTCTAACTAATTTTGGTTTACTATTTACCAGTTAAAACTTAACCAATCAAATACAAAACTAAATCGGATTGTAACCCAATTAGGATGGGTAAACCAAAGTTAGAGTAACCCAAAGTCTAAACAAAAAAAACACTAAATTAAACGCGAACTCCTGAAAATCCCCAATTTGTGATGAATCATAAATCCAGAATTCGTTTTTAATTATAGATGAATCCATTCAGTGCTACATTTGTTGGAGCCGTAAAAGCTGTCTATCACTTTAAAAATTGAATCTGATTCTTTTTGTTTGTTTCCTTGTAACTTGTGAAACTGCTGGATTTTCAGTTATACATCAGCTGTAAATAACTCGTTCTTTCTCACGGAAGTGAAGCTTCATGAGTTTGGAGACAATGGCAGCGGAAGCAGATGAATGTGCAAAAGGACCTCGATCAAACTTATCATCCTCACACCTTAAAAAAATCCAATTCCCTCACGATTCTCTTTTATTTTTGTTTTTCAAATCAAATTAATAAAAGACACACAATAGGTTCATCACACTCATAATCTAAACCACAAACCATGACATCACAACCACAAGATCTCAACATCCAAATGATTCAAAACTTCACACCCAATTGTCATTCTAATTGATCACACATGAATGAATTTCATTTCCAGCACCTTTAGGCGTGCTTGAAACCCAACATCAATATTTGTTTCGAATCTGCAGAGAAGCTTTTGGCACTTTAGATTGCAGATATCAAAATCAAAATGTTTTTTCGCAAAGACAAAGATTGCAGACTTCAAAATTTTGTTTAGGGTTCGTCAGATTTTATAAAATTGAATAGGGAATTTTTTTAGTTGAACTGGGTTTAGGTTCGCAGGTTAACAAATCGGATTTAGGGTGAGTCGAGTTTCCAATTTGGTCTTATAACAAGTTTAAGTGGTTTGATTGCTGCTTTAGGTTATAAACCAATAAAACCGACATTCATGTGTAAATAGGTTTTGGACTTTTCAATTAGGGAGATATGTGTTTCTAAACTTCTAAATAGGGGAATTTAAGACGAGGTCGAAAGTTTGGATAGATCTATTACTATATGAAACTTTCGAGGAGAAAATACGTCGTTTTCCCTTCTTTTTATTATTTCTTAAGTTTTAGTTTAACCAAATCTTATCGGACGCGAATATCATAAGTCCTTCCATATTTGTTAAAAGATGATCTCATCTATCTTCTAATAATTTGAACGTCTTTCTCATTTAGGCAAATGTGATATTTCATTAATACCCTTATCAAAATTATTTAATTTAAATAATTTTATATATAAACTAAAATGAAAAAAAGTAATAACGGTTATGAATTATTAATTAGATGTCTATTATAAGGTCCATAACAACTATTGTATTTGTCCTAAATCGGAAATTTGTGAGATAACTAAGTATTTGTAATACTAAATATACCTATCTCGATTCATGGAATAAGATACAATAATTTCTTCTCTCTCTTAATAACTGTTCCACAACACGTTATCAGCATGATTGTTTCTCGATCCGTTCTCACACCGAAAATGTGAGAGTTAGTTTAAAATTTTATTCCAAGATGATAAGTTATTCTTTTCCCGAAGAAGGAAGGCTATGTGTAACATCCGTGTTCAGGAAAACCCTACCAAGTGGAAATATTGGTTAAGGTAGTTAAAAGTTATGTAGAGCAGAAATGAGGAAAAACCAAGGGGTTAACTGAGGAAAGTCGGAAAATAAGGTTTAATCGGAGAAAATAGGTTTCCTAGCTAAGTCAAGCTTTCGCCGAGCTAAATCGAGTTTTGCCAAGCTAAAATCAGCTGGCCGTGATTTTCGGGAAGTTTAGCTAGAAATTCCGACAAGCCGAGTTTTCGAGACTTGGTCGGGATTCAGACAAGGTGGTCGGGAGCAGACAACTTTTGTCGGCTTCGGGTTTGCGCGGGGGCAGTTATTGGGTTAACACGCTAAGGCAAAAGTGCGGGAACGGGTATGGATTTAGGCAAGTAAGCGATAACGCGGGAACGATTATTAGTCGGGTAAAAATACGTGCGAGAGCGGTTTTTAGCCGAGAGAGTGTGTGCAGTGGCGCAGGAACGGTTTTTTGGCGGGTTTCGGCGGAAAATCAAGTGAGCGCCTATATAATTAAGGCTTCTAGCTAATTTTCTCTTCTTTGTGCGACCAAAGAACTTATAAAGATTAAGAGAAACCGTTTTAAGAGAAGTTTGTCGAGAGAAAGTCTGTTTAGCCGAAAGATATCGGATTCTGGCCGAGAGCGACTATGAATCTGTCGAGCGTGATCCAGATTCAGCCGAGCGATCGTGGGAACAAGTCTGAGCGATCGAGAAATCCATCTTTACCGAATCTATCCGAGAAAAGCTAAGGTGAGTGCGTGAGCGTGGCCTAGTTTGGATGTATTCTTGGTTAGATTATAGTCAGTTGCGTGTAATTTCTGTGCTTGTCATGACATTTCTTCTGGTTATACTGTGATGATCGATCCATCTTATCGGCAATCTAGATTAAAGTCTAGCATAAGTGAGTTAGTGGGTAAACCATCCTTCCAATGCCTAAAGTCCCCCGGTAAGGCTGATATTTGTTTGTGGAATTTTAAGTTAGTTTGCCAGCTAACTTAATAGAATATCTGATCCTTTGCAGATGGCAAGAGGTGATCGTCGACGGCAAGCAGTGGGTGGGAACTCGGCGGCTAGGAACGCGGAGGGTGGGAATCAGGATCGGGTGGATCAGAATTCAGACATTGTTGGGAATGTCGAGAATGCAGCTGCTGCTGCTGCGGCTGGGGTGATTCCAATCATTGCTGCTGCCCCAACTGGATTGGAAGCGGTGTTGGGTTTGTTAACCCAGGTGTTAGCTCGATTGACGACTGTTGCGGTTGTCCCCATGACACCACCGTCAGTCGTGCAAGTGAATCCGCCGATCGTAGACGTGGATAAGGGAATTGCTGGTCAGAGGGTCCCATCTTACCTGAAGGTGATG